CCCCCCCCCCCCCACGAAATTAACGACTTACGAGACGTCCGCCCTCGAGATCCCTTCCCGAGTGAGCGAATCGGCAACTTCGGCGATGCTCCTGCCTTGCTCCTCGTCCGCTCCCAAGAACTGGTCGTGAACCTGCACCATCCATTGGTTGATTCATTGATCGGTCGATTCACGTTTGTTTGTTTCTCGTCACCTTGTCTCTTTTCCTCCTCCTTCCCCCCTGTCCCCGCGCTACTGTTTTGTTTCATTACACGTCAAGCAACTAACGTCACAAGAACGCACAAACCACTGGTTGATTGATTCACCCTTGTTCGTCGTCATGTCGTCTCTTTTCCTCCTTCCCCCTTCCCCCTTTCTGTTTGCTTTTACTTCCCGTCAGGCAACCAACGTCACAAAAACACACAAGCAAAATCAATGGGTGATCGTGATTACTACTGCAGAAGAAATATGGACCCATCTTTTCAGCCACTTCTATCTTAGCGGTCCGATGGTGCTTTGTTTGGCTAGGCGGTGCGGGCGGTCGGGTGCTCATCCCCAGAAAGAAAGAAACACATGTACACGGGCGCGTGAGGCACACAAGAAGCAGACAAGAAGCAGACAAGAGCAGACGACAGCCAACAAACGGTGTAGTGCCCAATGCAAGGAGCAGGGGATTTGAATCTAGTAGGAGCTCATCAAGCTGCGGCACCGGTACTGACCGCCAATGCTGTAATTGGCCACTTGCTTCCATGAACGGGAAAGGTAATGTGCTTACGTGCGGGGTGGACCTTGAAGACATTGTCTACATAAAAGATACAAGGGTTGAAGATAGAGTTTCGTGGGCCATGTTCAACAAGGAGGTCATGAAAAACGACCCGAGAAAGAACGACGAAAAATAGATAGCAACACACCTTTTGTTGGATCGGAGTGAAGCCTTTCGAGCCCTCCGGATCCATGCTGCTGTGGTTGTACATGTTGTTGTTGTTGCTCCCTGGGCTGGTGAAGCCGTGCTGGCTGCTGCCGCCGTTGAACCCGGGGGAGCCAACGCCCTGCGAAACACAAGCCGGACCACGAAAACGCACAGCAGTTGCATAAAAACAAAAAAAAAGAACGCGGAGGAAAAGGGACAACAATCAGCGAGCCACCGCCTAGGATCTTGCCCTGCTGTATCCCAAGTCCATCACTCCCTCCCCCTCCCCCACGAGAAAACCTCCACCAAACAAGACAGAACAGATTTGAAAAAAGTTCTTCGGGTTCATTGATGTTCGCCGGGCTCTTCGAGTGAAAACACGCTAGCTTGTGCCACCTTTTCGAGCTTGGGAAGCGTCACCGGTGGCAGCTGGCAAGTTGATTCACACCAGCAGTGCCTTGATACCACCTTCAACCACGCCTTGATGACACTACTACTATCGCTCTCATGAGCCCGGAGGCACGCCTTGCATCCATCCCCCAAGAAATACTGATACAACTGACACGAATAACTCACGTTCATAGGCTGCGCCACGCCTGCACCCCCGAACGTGGAAGCCTTGCCCGGCAGGGGGCCCTTGGTGTTGAAGAGGTGTGTGTAGATCGTCTCGAGCGCGTGCAGCGTCACCTCGTCCATGTCGGAGATCGGGGTCATCGTGTACGCGACCGAGTGGCGGTCATCCTTCCAGGATCTCACCTGCCCGCCCGCCCGCCCGCCCGTTCGTTCGTTCGTTCGTTCGTTCGTTGTCACGTTGTTGTTACCGTCGGTGTTGTATAATGGTTGTATATCGTTGTTATTATTGTTGTATCGTTTGTCGTTGTCATCGTACTGGTAGGTGTATCGCTGTCAATGTTTTCGTCGATTCTGTGTGGTTTAGCTGTTATTTTGGTGGGCCGTGTATGCGCACATGCGCGACACACCAACCGACAGCGAGATCGGGACGAATCAAGAAAGGCGAACAGACAGCACGCGACAATGACAATCATAACGGCGCCTTCCAAACCAATAAAGAAAACCGGACAAAGCGAATGGTACGCGAGAGGCTCACATCCATCATCTTGAACGTGTCAACAACACCAATACTGCCTTCATGTATTGGATGGGCTTCAGACTAGATTAAGTGTACGATAACGATGTATCGAATGCAGCTAAGATCACTTCGCGTACGGTCCTTGGTCCAACACGCCAGACGAGGGGGGAAGGGTAAGAGAGACAGCGAGACAGAGAAAGAGCGAGAGAGAGACAGACAGACACACACACACGGAAGCGATGCGCTGCAAAGCTCGTTGTTAGTAAACTTGACCGACTTCATAAGTCGCGAGGGAAGGAATTTCCGTACCCTCCTCGCGATAAAAATATCGCAGGCAGGAACCGCAGGAGGGGGTCCAACCCCCCCCTCCCATGTGACCCCGGTTGGGTCGTCTAGCTGGTAGAAGTGGAGGATAGGGGCCAGAGGGGCAGACGACAGAGTCCAATGATGGGAGAAAAACAAACAACAAAACAACACACAAAGAGAGCGGCGGCAGCTTGGACTCACGTTGCCGAAGACCCGCACGTAAGTCCCGACCTGGCAGCGAGCGCGCTTCTCCGCGGCGCGGTCGTTCGCCCCCTCCCCGTCGTTGTGAAACATCTTCACCTGGGACGACGCCATGCGGCAAGCAGCAAGCGACGGAAAAGAAAACAAAAGAGCACAAACAACAAAACGCCAACAAGAAGAGCCCATCAGCGCCTTGATTTGTCTCGGTGATGCATCCTGTATGCCTTCAAGTCGGCACACATGCGGCACACTGGAAACATGTCACTGGGGAAAAAAGTGCGTCGGCGTTGCCGTTGTGTTGCCTCCGAGGAGTGGAACAATCACCGTCGCGTCATTAAGCACGCAAGCACCTCGCAGCCGAAGCGCTCAGGGAACTATGCCACTACATCGTAGCAATCTGCGAGGGGCCACATGTCGCCCCAAACAATATCATCCACCGAAACCGCGGGCGCGCGCGGACATGTTCGACAGGTCCACTTCCCTTGACATCCAACAAGGACTGCGTAGTCCACCCGTCCAGCAGTGCATTGAGTGCCCTGTTTGTTGGGGGGAGGGAAACAAGAAACCACCACAATCACAAGGAAGGCACAAAAAAAAAAAACTCTGTGATATGATATGATACCTTGAGGCGGCCGGTGGTGTCCTCGATAGTGTACTCGGTGTTGGTCGAGGCCTCGTCCACCTCCACGATACATCCCACCAGCTTGATCTTCCGTCCCGGTTCATTCATTCCGTCCCGGTTTCGATTCGTCCCGTTCGGTTCGGTTCCGGTTCAGCAGCGCGTGGTAACCCGGCGGCGGCACCAGCAGCAGAAAAAGCGGAGGTGGCGAATGGGAAGTTAGAGGGCAATGGGCGGGGTTTGTTTCCGCGGGATCCCGACAGAGGAGGGTTATATGAAAGTATGAAAAACATAGAGCCGACCTCACCGGCAGTATGTTTGTAGCGGGTCGGGAAACGGTATCAAGCGGCAAGGGGATACAGCTCGGCGAGGAAAACGAGAGAACTGTCTGTTCCTCGTGGATATAAAACACGCAAGACAAAAACTGCATGGAAAGCATAATGATGACATAACCAGGTGTACTTATATAGGAGGCCCGGTGCCGTCCGCGTCGACCTCCCCCCCCCCCNCCTCCTCCCCCCCCCTCCCCCCACCTGAGACACGTCGGCCCCGTCGATCTTGGCGCCCGAGTCCTGGTTGGCCATCTCCGACTCTAGCACCTTCAGAATCAGTCAACAACCAGACGAACAAAAAAAAGAAATGGACATGAAGAGTTGCGTTGGTGGCGGTTCGGGTCCGTTGCGGCGTCGATATTTTTCGCAGGAACGCATGAGCCCCTCGTGGCCAACAACAAGGCTAACTTCTTCGCTTGATCATCTTCTTCCGCTGCTGTTGCAGAAGAAGAACAAACCCCTGGAAGAGGGTCGAATTCTATCGTCTCTCTCTATATATATATCCGCTACAGCAGCAAGCATACAGAGGCGCGAAACGCGCGCGCCGAACAGAGCGCTGTTCGTTCGCTGCAGAACTATTGCTGATGACTCCTGCTTGTTCCAGGGGGCGCACGCGTAACCGACGTCACACGATGCTTTCCCCGTACCCATTAACACAGGCACCGTTCTATCCGATCTCCTTCGCGACCCCGCTGTCGAGGGTCGGTGTACCGTGCGGGCTATGCATGCAAGCGTCCGAAGCTAACCATGGGTTGTCTCTCGCGAGAATTGGCGTCTGCTGTTGATTGGCTCGCCAGATACACAGCGCGGTCAGTACTATTTATTAACCAACACACAGAATTAAAATAGTTGTCAGTGCGTGCGGGGGTACTGGAGGACAAATAAGCGTTTGCGGGAGAAGGGTTTTGACTCTGACTCCACCTGAGGTAGGCGTTTCTCTGGATACAACGGTTGAGCATGCGGTCGATGGATGGATTCAGTATACCGCATGCAGACACAAGTCGACGCCCTCACCGTTTTGGGCAAACGGTGGAAGCATTTAATGAATTGAATGACACCGACACACGAAACGCACCATAGAGCTAATGTGAGAAACAACAACAACAACGAAACGCACCTGTTTGACGTTGACCGATAAGAGGGACTGCTGCTCCTTGTTTTTCTGCCCCCCGCCGCCGCTGCCGCCCCCGCCCCCGCCCGACGGGCTGTCCGTGCCCCCCCCGCCCATAAAGCCCCCGCCTCCCTCACCGGGAGACCCGAAGCCGCCGCCACCGCCGCCATCGCCTTCACACAAATACGCCGACATAAGATTAACAGACACACGATACGCGACGTCGTTATTGGTCACGACAAGGGTTGCCGACAGCGGTAACTCTGGCACTCCTGTTGAACACAAACGACGGTGGTGCCATCCATGATCCATACGTCGCGATTCCCCTTTCCCCATTCGGCCTTCATTGCTTCGGCCCCGGTCCACCGTGGAATGGACTCCGGATGGACAAAAACCGGTGCCTTGTGTGCGAGTTCCGCGCAACTGCACTGTATGGCGACGCACATGCTTTCCGTTCCCTGCCTGAACATGCACGATACATGTACTGACAAGTCTCGCTGTTGACGCTACGTCATTGACTAGACACGGCATAAAAATCCGATACAACTTTTGGCACCATGCACACGATGCTGCCGCTGCTGCAAAGCCTTGTCTTGGCGTACAATCCGCTGCCCACACCTATCGCATGATGGGGGTGACGAGAGCCAAAAAACGCCGTATCTTACTCGGTACCAAGCCTTACTCGGGCGCTGTTGGTCAATCGTCTATGTAGGAAAAAAACGCATAAATCAATCACTTCCATTTCCATTTGTAGCGCTAATAGACGTTTACGAGCTGATGAGCTCTAAGACTCTTGACTTTTGTCACTCGCCCTGTAGCCCCACGACACTCAAGTCACCGATTCAGATGCCTTTGCAGTCCGTTTCTCGCTGCCCTGCTTGCCTCTTAACTCTAACGACGAGTTACACTAGGTCGGCGAGATAATCTTTCGTTCTATGTATACGCTATCCCGAGGCGTTTTGTAGCGCTTCCGTCGTTCCTTCCCGGGTCACAAAGGCCAGATTTCACCCGCCACACCCTTGCCGACTTGTGTGCATTGAGGGGGACGCTGGAAGGGGGAGGGGTGGGGGGGGGCAACGCTTGCCTTCCTGTGCTCTCGATCACGACGATCGAACATAACGAAGCCATCAAACAACCAGAATCTCGCCGAACTCCACATATCATGAGAAAGTTGGTCTGCAACACCTGTATGGAAGTACAACAGTAGAGCTCCGTTCACACCCATTGGCGCCAAAAACAAGACAAAATCGTCTTCTACGCCTGTAGTGCAACACCGCATGTTTCGCAACGCCTGTGCGTGCACATCAGTGTTTGTGAATCCAACGCTTGTTCCGTAAACTTTGGCGAGCGGTGGCGGTGCCTCCTCACATCTTGCGGTCAAACATCAGGACGTGTGGCCTGCGAACTCCGTGTCAACGACAACACAACGCCCCCGGTACTGCTGTAGTGAGCCAGCCGCCCGTCCCCGCCCCTCCTGGGTTCAAGAACACAAAACAAAATTCAAAATTCAAAACATCACACACGATCCGCCACACGCCAAAAAGGAGAGATACAACCTGCTGCGCCCGCGCGCTTACCGTACCGCTGTGAACGCAAGGGTTAGGAGACAAAGGTATCGCTCGACAAGCACTACCGCTCTCTCGGCTGTTACACCGGCAGCTTTATCTTCTCACCTCCATCGAAGCCCCCGCCTCCGCCACCGTACTCGAAGACACCGTAAGAAGACATCCCGCCGGCGTTGCCCAAAAGATATACGACTGCTCTAGCCTCTACAGAATAACAGCACGAACAAGCCAGTTCTAGGAAATGAAAGAGATGAGGGTTGAATGGGTGTGTATCGGCTTGGGTTTGATCGTGGCAACACGACCGCGCAAACGACAGATTATGGTGGGGATCAGGGATGAGAGCTGGCTGATCAAGCCCTCCGAGGGGTTCCGCAATTTCAGGGGATGGTATCACGGAGCGGCGCAATAACTGCGGCCAGCGTGTGGTACATTGAACATTATTGCACGACACACTAGCTAAGCTAGGGCCGTAGCCGATCGCGTGGGGCCTCACGAAGCTGCAACAGGATGAACGTGGAAGACGCCGTCGACCAGCTTTATCGAGGCAAGGTTATCCTGGCACCCATGGTCCGCGCGGTAAGAACGCCAATTTTTTCCTGTCGGGACGAGAATCTCCGCGTTACTGCGGTCGTCGGGAGTAGCCAAGAGGGTACATCAACCTTGCTTTTTGTTGTCACCCGATAGTCATCACTCTCCGTGTGAAGATCCTAAAGTGACCCTGGTTATCCTAAAGTGACCCTGGTTATGTTCATGGTGTGTGGGATTTCGATGGAACACAGTACCAGTGATTTTTGGTCGGCAGGATACAATTTTTCCACCACCATGGATACATACCATGAAGTACTCTCTGGACAAGCGCCGGTGGTAAGCCAGCAAGGCACGCGGTACACGTACTGGTTGTCAGTTGTACCGTGTTACAAGTGTCGGCCCGTTCGTTTGACCAGTTTTTTTGGTTGCATGTCACCGTTTTAGAGAGCACAGGACACAGCCTTTTTGAGAAGAAACACTGCAGTAGTGCTCATGTTCATTTCTACACATGAATATGCATACGCCACAAGATATTTATACTGGTTAGCAGTCTGAGCATACAACGGCGGTCGTACATAACGAAGGTCTTAAAGGCATGTCCAGAAAGAAGCCCTCTGCCCGTAAGATTGAATACGGCCGGCCGGTGGAAGATCACCCTCACATGCGGCAGATAGCGGCCTTCCGTTCCCAGTACTGTACAGTTATGACCGCAGCGATTTCTCCCACGTGCCGCTGTTTTGTTTTGTTTGTTGTTTTTCTCCCATCATTGGACTCTGTCGTCTGCCCCTCTGGCCCCTTATCCTCCACTTCTACTAGCTAGACGACCCAACCGGGGTCACATGGGAGGGGGGGGGTTGGACCCCCTCCTGCAGTTCATGCCTGAGGTATTTTTATCGCGAGAAGGGTACAGCAATCCCTTCCCTCGCGACTTACGAAGTCGATTATGGTTTACTAACAACGAGCTTTGCAGCGCATCGCTTTCATCCTAGACTAGGATATACTTGTGAGAAAAAAAACTCACTCTGCCGGGACTCGATCCCATGACCTGGCCCATAGCAGGCTGCGCGGCTACTCACTAGACCACCGGGGCGACCGGTGTGTGTTCTTCAAACGTTGGCCAACCTCCACATACAGTAGTACGGGTAGACTACTGGGTGTGGTGAAGGCTACCACTTGGAGCGCCTCCACGTGTGTTGGTTTGCAGGTGAGTTCCGCTTGCCTCTAACCTCCCACCCGCGCCCACTCCTCACGGTATGGCAGGGCACGCTGCCTTTCCGTGCCCTCGCCCTACGCTACGGGGCGGACACGGTGTTCACGGAGGAGGTCATCGACCGTCGAGTCGTCAACGCCGTGAGGACGGAGAACCCGGTGCTCGGCACCGTGGACTACGTAGAGAAGAGGGGCAAGAAGGGCATCGCGACGCCGTTCCAGACGTGTCCCGCGCTCGAGCGCGGTCGATTGGTGTACCAGATAGGGACGGGCGACGCCACCAACGCGCTGCGCGCGGCCCAGGTGTACGGACGGCTGTAGGCATGCCTGGTGTACACAAACTGGTAGATGTTGTTTGCTGTGGCGTCGTATTGTTTTTGTCAACCAGGCAATGGAAGTGCCTGCTGCATGGAGGCGACGGTAAGTGGGCTTTTTTCCACAGCCGGTTCTTCATTACTGGCAATTTCTGTCCAAACGCAGCTCCTGTCGCAGGGCGGTTGATTCGCTACACGTGACGCCTTGGGCATGCGGTGATGGTGCCATTGATACCGTTGCTGCACGTCGTTGATTGCCCCTCGCCTTCACCGTGCTGACGGAATGGCTGACCCCCCAACCACCTCGGTATCGCCCTTCCTCTTGTCCCTCTTGTCCCCCATGCGCGCAGCACGTAGAGCGAGACGTAGCGGCCGTTGACATCAACATGGGATGCCCGAAGAAGTTCTCGCTGCAGGGCGGAATGGGAGCGGCGCTGCTCAAACAACCCCAAGTCGCGGCGGATATCGTGGGGTAAGCCCGGGTCTGCTCGAAAACGGCAGTTGTCAGACAAGAAGAATGAAGGCGACGATGGATGAGCTGCGTTATTTTCTCAAACAAAGTGGACCGAACCCGAGGCGATTCCGTCCCGGGCTTCCGTGCCGTCCCCATCCATCACCGACGGAAAACGGTTTACCGATGACGTCGCTTGGTTGCAACGTGTTCGGAAGTTCCACAGGCTCGCTGAAAGCATTCAACGCGCCCCTCCCTCATCTCCTCCGAGAGAAGGAGGCTTTCATTCGGCTGCAAACTGTAGCGTTTTGCAAACGGTTCGATTACCGAGCGGACATCGGCATCTCGGAGACCCGCGTTCGGCCATGTTGTCGTTTGGCACGACGTCGTTTGGTCTCAGTAGTGCTCGCGAGGACACTACTGTATAAGCTTGGTCTTTTGGTAACCGTGACAGTGTGGGTTGGGGAATAGGGTTAGGGTTAGACCCTCACAGAGTAATATTGAGCATCCTCGCGAATGCGGTCATTTTTTTCGGACGTGTGGGGGGGGGGTTCCGTGCCCGTGCGGCATGTTTCCTGGGGCGGTACATACGCTCATCTGGGAGTCCACGCACGTGCGGGTCTTGTGTATCGCCGGTGCTTCGGAAACACGCGGCGTGCCGCCTGCGGTGTGTCGCTCCCAACGAAAAACTCTCGTCTCGTGACCGCCGATAACACACTGAATGGAATCGATTTGCTTTCCGACGACAACGTGATCACATCTCAAAGGATCCTGAGGAGAAACCTGTCGGTGCCCGTGAGCGTCAAGATTCGCCTGCTGGAGACCCCCGGCGAAACGGTGGAGTTCGCGAGGAGGATGGAGAAGGCGGGGGCTTGCGCCCTGTCCGTGCACGTTAGGTAAGCAGGGTATCCGGAGAGGACACGACACGAGAGAACCTGTGGGTGATGGTGGCTGTCGAGGTGCGAAAGAAGTCTACCTGTCGACGATTGGGCCAAGCGTAGAGTGACTGCCCAGTTCCCCGCTCGCGTCCACGTGGCGGGACAACGCGTGCAGCTTCTCTGGCGCGTGTGCGCGTTTCGGTTCGCGATATGAGGGGATAGGATAGGCAACGAGTTTGAGGGTAGGGGGGGCGCATCAAGGCTGTGCGGCGGACAGACAGAAACGGCGCCAGCATATTGCATGCGTGTGTTCCGTGTTGTCGACGAAGAGGTCTCGTTGTTGACGCTTGAAGCTTGCCGTATAGTACTGCTGCTGCTGCTGCTGCTGCTGTTATGGTGTTCCGCACGACTTGCGCCGACACCGCATGGCGTGGAACGTGTACCACGTACTACTGATGTACACGCGCGCGCACCCAAACGCCGGATCATCTATGTGGTCGGGGAGGTTTTTACAATCGTCCGAACTTGTTTGCAATGATTTTCTCGACGACCCCGTGATTGTTTTCTTTCTCTTTCGCTGGTTGCATTCGTTTTTTTCGCAACCCGACAGGAAGGTTGGAGATACTCCAGCATCTAAGGCCCGGTGGGAGGAGCTTCGGCCTGTCGTGGACGTGAGCGCATGTCTTCCTTGACGACTCTCGAAAGCATTTTTATTTGCTTGGCATACCTGCGCATGACGCGTTTGCTGCATCTTCCTTCTGCCTGGCACGCATGAGTATTTTAGTGGACACCCACACGACGGCGGGCGTCCTTGTACGGGATCTTCTGGATCGGAGATGGCGTGTCTCATCCACTCCCTTTCCCCTCACGTTTGTTCCACGAAACACACGCTCACCTTCGGCTGGTCCCTCGGGCTCCCTCCTGCGGTCCCATCAAAAACAACAACAACAACAACAACAACAACAAACAACAGGCGGTCGACATCCCCGTGATTGCCAACGGGGACGTGTACACGAGGGCGGACATGGCGGGCATCAAAGCCTTGAGTGGATGCAGGTGGGCGGCGAAATTTTTGTATCTTGTCTGTGGGCCGGGCTGTCTTCGTGTACGGGTGCAGCATTCACGTTGTCACCATCTATAATGATGGTATATTCTACGACGCTGTAGTAGGCAGTCAGGAGGGTCGTGGTATACTTCTCTGGTGGGAGTGGATTTTCACGAAACATGCAAGGCTTGTAGTAGCCCAACAACAAAAGGGGGGGGGGTGGGGGAGGGGCAGAGGACGACAGGACGGCGTACGCGTCGGGCCACAGTAGCCCCAAGAAGTTATGGAAGAAGTTGGCACCACCGTACACCGAAGTCGGCATGAATCTCTGCCTGCCGCGCGTTGGAATTGCTTTGAACGCGTGTCAGGAACAAGCGGTGGAGCTTACAAACAGCCTAAGTCATGTTCTTGGGGGGAGAATGGGGCAATTCCACGTTTGATACGCCTGCGATGGTGCTGCACTGACACCCAGTTAGGAGGACGTAGGTGTTGATATTTGTCTTTTTTCTTCTCCCTTCAGCGACACATTTCCGTAACGGCTGCTCCTTGTCCGCCGTTCTCGCTATTTTTGGGGGCATTGCTGTGGCGGGCGGAAAATTCCGTGCCAGCTCGGTGATGCTGGCGCGACCGGCCCTGCTGAACTGCTCCATCTTCAAGCCCGATGGACACGTGCTGCCGCTGAAAGAGGTTAGTGTACCTCTAGATGAGAACCTGCAGGACCTGCACCATGCCCTGCGGCACGTGCGACTTAAGTGGAACTCCTGCTCTGCCCTACAGCCTCGCTGTCCGATGGGCCGGCTGATACAAGACAGCGGGAGGGAACAACGCCAAATGAACGCGCGCAGCGCTATTTAGTTAGTGCTACTGCCGTACATTTGGGGTGTGGAAAGCTTTTTGCGGTTTCGCGAACGAACAACGGGCGCCAACCCGCGTGTGCGCGCAGCTGTGCTGGCAGCTGGTGAAACACCCCACGGCTGCTGGAGACCCTCGATGGTTGATACGTCTTTTGTTCGGGCTGTCGGTTGGGCTGAACAATGCGCCCTTTGTGCGGGAGATTCGGATCAAAACATCGCGATTGCTTACCCTCATTGCAAAAACGATAAACATGGGCAGTTGCCACCACGTGTCCCAGTAGTGCGTTGAACCACGGCGACTGCCAAGAACAGAGCATTCATAACGCCGTGGGCAGACGTGGGAACTATCCACCCTGCTTTTCGATGGACATTTTTAATTTCTGCGCCGTACCGGCAAGCAGCAGCTGTCAGGGACCCTCCTCGGTGATCCCGCTTGCCCCCTCCGCTATCGATGCCAAAGGGTGCGCCGCCTTCCCACGAAACGCCGACCTTTTGCTGATAACCAAACAGGTGATTCAGCAGTACCTGCGGGAGTGCTTTCGGTACGACTCGGTCTACCAGAACGCGAAGTACACCGTGATGGAGATGCTCACCAAGAGAAGGCATCCGGATCATCTCAAGGTGGACTTTTCTGTAGAGCTCATGTGGTCGGTGCAGCGAGGGTACATAGTATATAGTACAGCGATGTTGTGGCTGGGTCGGTCAACCCCCGTGATCCCAATGCCTGTTTGCGTCCGCTGAGTTAGCCGGTACCACGGTACACTCGATCGATCCTGTCGTAGAAGTGCTCCGTCGCGGATTCCTTCGCTGTGGTTCTTTGACTTCTCTTCCCTTCCTTGCGTCGTAGGTCGAGCGAGATCGCCTTCCCTGCGAATGCTCGGTGCTCCAACGTTCTTAAACCTTGTCGTTTCAGCTTTGCCGTTGTTCTCTCTCAAGTCGCTCCATGTTCAGTTCGGTAAGCGCCTCCGTTCCCTTTCTCCCCCTCGTGCCGTCTGCTGGAATCAGGAATCCATCTCCTTGGGCCTGCCCGGGGGTGCTCCTGGCATGCGCGAGGTAACGCCGGCGAAGACGTTAGAGCAGCTGGCGAGGCTTTGGGACGTGGGAGCCGACTTCGATGCGGAAACTGTCAGGTGCGGCACGACCGGAGCCACATTCGTGACTGCCACACACACTCCTGCTCCTGGGCTATCAGGCAGATCGCCCCCTCTTGTTGTGAATCACGTCGGGAGTCCCCCCGTCTACGATGGTGATTCGTGCCACGCTGCTTCTTCTTCGTTTCAAAGCGCGATCAAGGAAATAGCTGCGTGGAATTTTATGTAGGGAGTTGGTCTTGCTCACAGGAGGCCTTAGACTAGATACGGTGGTATGCATGCTGCAGAACGGAGGGAAGCCGTTTAGGTTGCGGTGTATTTTCTCCATCCTTCCACCCCATCCCATCCAATCCCCCACCTTCCGACCACCCTCCTGACCCCCGATCGCTCAGACGAAGGAAGCGCGCGGAAGAGCTTGGCGAGGCTACTTCGATAGAGCAGGCAGAGCGCGGGACTGTCCACAAGTGAGTCGCGACGATTGACCTTCTGCTCTCCTGGCGCCGAGAAGGAACAGGGCGGTTGTGTGTTCGAGAGTAGGTATACCGATTTGGAGCGTAGGGAAAGCCCGCCTGATTGGAAGCCGCTATTATGAGTAGTGGTAAGGCCGCTGGTTTGCAAGACGCAAGGCACAGCGTTGCGGCACTAAACCACGACCTCCGTGTGACACTCTCGTGCACCCCCACGACATAAACATAAAAAAACAAGAATAAATACAGCGGTATCACGGGGCTTTTTGTCATCGTTCTCTGATTGCTTTTTTTGTGTCCTACGACTGTTTCTAGTCTACTCTTGCCCCGCTTTGTTCTTGGTGCTGATGTTTCATCCCTGCAAATACCATCATCGTGTACAGGTTCGACGACGCGTATTTTCTGGGCACAGAGGAAGCGAGAACGGACAACGCTGTAGGCGGCAAGGCTCGCGACTCGTCGGACGCTCCTGACCCCAACGCCGCGCGAGGCCGGGGCGGTAGGGACCGTGACAGTGGTGGCGGCGGAAACGGGGGCGTCGAAGCCACCGCTATGGCTGTGGACAATGGCGGTGGCGGCGGAAACGGCGGCGTAGAAGCCACCGCTATGGCCGCGGAAAATGGCGGTGGCGGCGGAAACGGCGGCGTAGAATCCACCGCTATGGCCGTGGAGAACGGCGGTAGTGGTAGCACAGGGGCACCCTCCTCCACTACCGCAGCGATTGCCCGCTCAACCTGCGCCGGTGGCGGAGATAACTGTGTTGGAAGGGGTGGCGACAGAGGAGGGACGGACGCGGGAGGGGGAGAAGAGGCGTGCCCTCGAGGGGGCGACCGAGCGGGGGATGGCGAAGCGGGGGGGATCGTGGCGCGATCGGTGGTTGCTGTTGTCGCCACTGCGAGGGAAGCAAGCCCCGGTGGTGGCAGTCATGGCGATAGCGGTGGAGGTGCTGGGACTGGCACAGCAGTAGCAGAAGAAGGGCAGCAACCGCAGCAGCAGAGGAGTGGCGGGGTTGCTTGTTCGGAACGAGGGAGGAGTCATGAGCGAGGAGAAGGAGAAGAAGATGGCAGCTTCTCCGGAGATGGTGTACACGCCGAAGAGGGCCTGCGGCAGGCGTGGGTGCCTTCGAAGCGACCTCGGGAGGAGGAGGAGGCGGAGGAGGAAGAGGCGAGCGCGGTGTAGTAGTAGCTAATAGCTGGCCGGTGTTCATGCGGTTGCATGCACCGTACGATACGATCACAGAGAGCGCGTCAAGTTTGACCCAACGCTGCAGCGTTCTTTCTGGGGCACGTTTGTTTCGACAGGGCCAATCGCATTTTCGTGAGAAGGCCACGACTCTCCTCCTTGCTAGGGAGAGGTCCAAAGACCGCTAAACAGACTGGTGATGAACAGTGGGAGCAGTGGTCGGGGTTGGGCGACGTGCTTTCAAAATCCAAATGGTGAAGGCCAGGCCGAGGTGGGTGGTGACAATCCATCCGAGGAGGATTTCCTCGATTAGTATGGCAGCTTGCCTCTGGCAACCGTGCTGGTCCTCTAAGGGATTTTCATCATATAGGTGGTATAGAGAGCAGCGAAGAGGTGATTCGCTAAAAAAGTAGGGTGATTAATTTTTTTTCATCCGTTCGACGACGGTCAGGGCAAGAAGAAAGCGTTCAGTACATACAGTTTGGATGGACAACGCCTAGTACTCAGTCTGATGTAGAGGAAACAGACGAGGATATGATTTTCTGTGCTGCGTGCAAAACATCGCGAGTTGGGTTGTTGTGGAATTGGAGAGAAACAGATGTGACAACCCGCATGTCTTGGACTGAGAGAATGCGTGTTTTCCATGTCTTCGCACGTATCCAGTGCAAGACTGTCCACACACCACACACACACACCACACACACACACACGTAGTTTCGGCTTGCTTGCCGTGGGGTGGATACCATGATGGTGCACGGTGGAATGAAAGATCGCCCCGGATCACGGATGAACGCGGATGAACATTTACCCGTCGTCGTCGGGTCATGCCGAACTTCGTTCATCCTGTGAACATAGACTAGACTATATATACACTTCTAGTGCTTGGGACCGTTACAAGCACAGCCTCAATGCACACCCGCTGGCCAATTGGCGTGAACACGTATCCTGCGACGAGGTGGATATATGATACGGTATTGCCACGGTTCCGTGTTTGGTGTTGTGGTGTTGTGGTGTTGTGGTGGGGGGGTTGGATAATCCCCCGGGTGTTTGTTGTTTGAGTTTGGGGAACGAATGAGAGACAGACACTGCTGTAATACTGAAACACTTTGTGCCAGCCAAACTCCCAATCAATCAAGACCACCGCTGGAAGAGACAGATAAATCTGTGAGACGGAATCACTTTGTGCCAGCCAAACTCCCAATCAATCAAGACCACCGCTGGAAGAGACAGATAAATCTGTGAGACGGAATCACTTTGTGCCAGCCAAACAATTCCAGGGCCGTCTGCTCTTGTCCACGATGATCACCTTTGTTTCTACACCCTATCGCTCAAACCTCACCAACTTGTTCTGCGCCAACACGACGATGAAACTGGCCAGCCCTTGGTCGCACAACAGGACCGTTTGGCGATGCTCATGCTCGGGCACGCCACAGTCTGGGTGATTGCTGCACGCCATGATACATTGTATTGTAAGGTCGAACACCGCTCGCACGACCGTTCGAACGGCAGCCGACCTCAATCGGTGATCCCGCAGTCAACCTCAATCGGTGGTCTCGCACAGCACGCTGGCCAGTTTCGTGTTGTGTCCATGCACATACATACCGATGGAAGCGACGCGCTGCGAAGCTCGTTGTTTGTGAACTTGATCGGCTTAATAAGTCGCGAGGAAAGGGGTTGCTGTACCCTTCTCGCAATTAAAATATCTCAGGCAGGAACCGCAGGAGGGGGTCCAACCCCCCCCTCCTATGTGACCCCGGTTGGGTCGTCTAGCTAGTAGAAGTGCAGGATAGGGGCCAGAGGGGTAGACGACCGAGTCCAATTATGGGAGAAAAAAAACAAATACCCGGGGGGGTATCCAAACAACCCCCCCACCACACCACACACCACCACACCCCACCACACACCACCACACCCCACCACACACCACCACACCCCACCACACACCACCACACCCCACCACACACCACCACACCCCACCACACACCACCACACCCCACCACACACCACCACACCCCACCACACACCACCACACCCCACCACACACCACCACACCACCAAAACTGGAACCGCGACATTGCCATATATCCTGTAGACTATCCACCCTCGCCGCACGACAGGTGTCCATGCATATATATACATACATACGATGATGGCCAATTGGCCAGCGGGTGTGCGCTGAGGACATGGCCGCGCTGTAACGGCCCCAAGCAGTAGTCCATGTCCACAGCTTGAAAGAAGTTCGGGACGATCTACAGCAACAGCAGAGATAGAGGGGTGGACGGAACCACGGATCGGGTGGACCTAGACTAACGGGAAAACGTCTTATTCTACTTACAGCCGTCCAGCGACCTCGCTGACCACCTGCGGACCATGGCGCAGGCGGACATAGCATACCAAGGCATGTTTCACACGACGGGACCGTTTGGCCATACTCATGCTCGGGCACACCACAGTCTGGGTGATTGCTGCACGCCATGGTACATTGTATTGTAAGGTCGAACACCGCTGGCATGACCGGCAGTCAACCAACCGCAATCGGTGGTCCCGCGGTCAACAACAATCGGTGTGGTTCCAATCGATGGTCCCGCACAGCACGCTGGCCTGTTTCATCGTGTTGGCGCAGACCACATTGGTGAGTTTTGAGCGACAGGGTATATAGAAACAAGGTGAGCACCGTGGGTAAGAGCAGACCCTGGGATTGTTTGGCTGGCACACAGTGTTTCAGTCTCACAGATTTATCTGTCTCTTCCAGCGGTGGTCTTGATTGATTGGGAGTTTGGCTGGCACAAAGTGTTGCAGTCTCACAGCGTGTCTGTCTCTCATTCTTTCCCCGAACTCAAACAACACGTACCCGGGGGGTTATTCAATCAACCCCCCCAAGAAGCGCAGCATAGCGAGGTGGAGAGCACTAGAAACGTGCTTCGAGGGTTATGTACGGCAGCTCGAGAAGAAGAGCCGAGAGGGGGATCAGGCGGGTTTCTACAGGCACCTGAAGATGATCGACGTCGAAGGTAAGAGGTCGTTCACCTCTCGGAACATCAAGGACGAGGACGGCAAGGTCCTTCGGGACCCCACGTTTATTCGCCAACGGTGGGCACGGTGGTTCCACAAGCTTTTCAACACTAAGTCGCCGACCATCGACCTGCATGCGGCTGACAAGATCAAGCGGTGGCCCACGTGCGTGCCACTCGACGACATCCCATCTCTACTTGAGGTTGAGGAAGCGGTACGGGAAATGGCCAACAGAAAGGCCGTCGGGCCGGACGACCTACCGGCTGAGCTGATCAAGCTTTTCCTGGACGGAGATCAAGGTCTCCTCCGCGAATTCCACGCCATTGTCGTGGACGTGTGGCTGGCTGGGGACGTACCACAGCAGTGGAAGGATGCCACCATCAAAGTGCTGTTCAAGAAGGGGGACACGATGGAGTGCGGCAACTACCGGGGCATCTCTCTCGTCGCACACGCCGGCAAGGTGCTGCTTGAGGTCGCCGCTATACGACTGAGCCACTACTGCGAGCGAGAGGGCATCCTCCCGGAGGAGCAGAGCGGTTTCCGCCCACACCGGTCGACGCTCGACATGCTGTTCGCC